ATAATACCTGGACATTAGAAATAACTATTAGTGTTTAACCCTGTAAAAGTCTACAATTTCATTCTTAATAATCCTAAAAAATCTTAAATTTGACTCGAAACCTTCAGAAACCCTGTGTATGTCAGAAGTAGGTGAAATATCATTACACGTTGTATTTGACAATAGTGGCCGTGAGAATCCAAAAGATTGAAAACCACTGTTCGATTCTGACATCACCATAATAATCTTTTTTTTTTTTTTTTTTGGCAAAGATTGAAGGCAAAGCCCAGTCCATTACAGCCACTGCCACCATTTCTGCCCCAGCAACCTCTGCAGTCTCTGCTACAGCCACAGCAATATCTACCTCTCAGGAAAATCAAGCCAGTAAGATTACTTTGTCTTATTTTGTGTGTTTGTGTGTGTGTGTTATATATATATATATATATACATACATATATATACATATATATATATATATATTTATGTGTGTGTATATATATATATATATATGTGTGTGTGTGTGTGTGTTTGTGTGTGTGTATATATATATATATATGTATATATATGTATTTATTATTGATGTTTAGAGCTTTAGGTTTAAGCAAAACGCATTACAAATTACATGCCTTATTATTCTTTATTATACCACTATTAAATACACACATACTTATCAGAAAAACTAATACTACAGGCCATTATCTGATTCTTTTGCCATTTTCCTGTTTCTTCAGATGTCCCAGACACTTCCTCCTATCAGTACGATGAGTCTTCTGGGTATTATTACGACCCCATCACTGGCCTCTACTATGACCCAAACACACAAGTAGGAGTACTTTTTTATACAACAATTGTGCTATTCAATTGCACGTACAACGTACTAAGCTTTGTTATTTCTATCTTTTAGTACTACTACAACTCTCAGACTCAGCAGTATCTGTACTGGGATGGAGAGAAGCAGGCGTATTTACCCGCTGTGGACAGTAACGCTCAAAATGCCATGGCCTCCACTTCCACTCCTCAGAAAGAGGGCAAAGAGAAGAAAGAGAAACCTAAGAGCAAAACTGCTCAGCAGGTAATAAAAGCTCATTATGCTGGTCAATCAAATTGCAAAGGCTGTATGTAATTTAATTATGCAGATTTGCACTTTTTTATTTTATTAAAATTTTTTTATTCTGGTTTCACTGGAGTGAATGTTTGTTTACATGCATGCTATTCGTATGCTGTATTTGCCTCTAAAAGCTACTTCATTCATGTTCTGTGAATTGTGATACTCTACAACAGTGGTTCTCAAAGTGGGGGTGGGGACCCCCCGAGGGGTCGTGGGACAATCAAGAGGGGTCGCCTGGTGATTTAAAAAAATCTATATTTTTTTTTAAACCATAAGAATTACCATAGGTTATCCATAACCTACTGAAGAGAAAAAAAATTGTTGTCTATAGATACTATATGCTTTACAGTTACTATATAGTTACTATAGTAGCTTATAGTTACTAGTTCTATTGGAAAGTGACCCCTGGGGTAATTACATTATATTAAAGACACAGCAATAGCGTCAGAAGCAGCAGATTGATTTTATAACACCAGGTTAAACTTTCTGGCCCATTTACAGCACTGATATACATTGAAAAAATTAAAACAAGAATAGACTTGTGTCTATTAGTGTGTGTGTGTGTGCCATTGCATTGATAACCACTGTATATATAACAACCTGAGAGGAAATTGGGGGTCGCGAGTCACTGGCATTGTCATTTTGGGGGTCGCTGGCTGAAAAGTTTGGGAACCCCTGCTCTACAACACCATATCACATGTGTAAATAAATGGTAAACTTCTCACATTTGCTATTTAGTTATTGAATTTCAATCTAAAATCTTTTGATGGTTTTATGTTTGAACGAATTTAATGAGGATATTAGTAAACTGGGAACAAATAAGATGTTGCACAAAAATACAGTTGTACCGTTTTGTTAGAATTTTGTATTTTCTTTTCAATGAAAAGGCTTAGAATGTGACATGTACAAAGATTTCTCACCCTGTATTTCAGCTCTAAAAGTAGTTTGAACTTGACTCTTTTTCTGTTTACCTATATACTCTTATATATATATACTCTTTTTCGTATATTTATATTTGTATATTTAATAGTAAATATTTGTATATTTACTTGTATTTTTATACACTCCCAACAATGCTAGCCCTTGACAAAATGTAAAAAAAAGAAACAAATGTAAAAAATAATAATAATAATAGAATAATAAAATAAGTGTAAGCATGTTCTTAATCTGAATGACAGTATTGCATATTCACAGCATGTCATTTATGCCCTTAGCCATGCAATGCAATGAAATGTAAACGGGCAGAAGTAAATGAATTAGTGCAGTAAGTTACTCTATTAAAAATATTGATTTTGATTAATTATCTGTACAGACTTGTAATAAGCAAAGTAAACAACCAATGAGCTTCTTAAAAATGTAGCAACACATTATAACCGGCTCTCCGTAGCATTCATTTACAGCACATGTGTCAGACTCTGCACGATTTAATTCCAACACTAATTAAACACACCTGATCAAACTCATTGAGTCTTCAGGCTCGTTTGAAACCTGCAGGTAAGTGTGTTGGAGTTGAGTTTGAACTAAACTGTGCAGGGCTGCGGCCCTCCAGGAACTGAGTTTGACATCCCTGATTTACAGCATCTTGGCGATTATACTAACAAGCTGTCTATGTGGATGCTCGGAAAATACAAAAACTCAATCAATGAAAATTAAAAATGTCTACCTCTTTGTGCATCAGATTGCAAAGGACATGGAGCGCTGGGCCAAGAGTCTAAACAAACAGAAAGAAAACTTCAAGAGCAGCTTCCAGCCCATCAGTCAGGAGGAGAGGAGAGAGGCAGCGGCGGCAGATGCAGGATTCACGCTGTTTGAGAAGAAGGTACGGCTTACATCGCATTGTCTTATGGTGATGATGATGATTGTCAATGAATAATAATTGATTGTCAATACATAAGATTAATTCGTTAGTAACATTAAGATTAATAATGTTTTCATTTCAGCCTGGAGCATTGGAGAGGCTTGTAACAGAAGCATCCAAAATGGCAGAAGAAGAGAGTTGTTCATCAAAGGTCTCGCGCACACTGTGTCTCTTTTCTAAATAAATGAACTTCTCATGGCATGTTGGCTAATCTCTGAACTCTGTGTTTTCTGCAGGTGGGACTGGTGGCTGCGTACAGTGGCGACAGTGAACCAGAGGAGCTTATAGATGGAGACGACAGAGAGGACAAGCTGACAGACTGGAAAAAGCTCGCTTGTCTGTTGTGCCGGAGGCAGTTTCCCAGTAAAGAAGCTCTGATTCGCCATCAGCAGCTCTCAGACCTACACAGGGTAATTACAGTTGGATTGTAATCGATGTTATTGAACCCTCGTCATGTCAATATTGCAACAAATACCAAATTGTTAAACATACTTGTGCAATGCCCTATTTTTAAAGATATCAGATGATTTTTAGCTGGAGAGACTTTAAATGAAATATTTTACAATGTGAATCCTTCCAGAATTGGGCAATTGTTATCAAAAGTAATAATATACAAAATAATAATCTAAAAACAGTTGAAGGATTACTTTTAAGGATCGAAATCGATCAAAATTCATGCTGTATTTCGATTATCGAATCAAAAAATGGAATCGTCGATGCTGCCCCGCCCCCATGTCATGTGAAAAAAAACAGGCTTGTTGCAGAGCTTGTTGAACTGCAGACGCAGGAGACCCGTCAACAGAACTTAAACCCTTTCCTCTTTCAATGAAGTCGCTTGTGTGAAAGTATTGTGGATTTCCAGTGAGTTATGTTGACAACGTTTGCGTTATCGGAAAAAAAAAAAAAAAAAAACAGTTTGCAAGCTCTGCTATGTATTAGGGTCGGGCCGATAGACAACACCGGCATGGCGATCCTCCGCCCCGCCTCCGTTGCAAATCTGCTCGCGAAAAATACACACTCAGGCCCTGTTTACATTAATAGGTCTTAGTTTTTAAATGGCATTTTATAACGACAACGATCCACATCCACAATGGCGTTTTGCATTTCTGAGCAGCCCTCCTTCCTCACTACCACTGAAAATGCACATCACGTGACCACACACACACACACACACAGGCAGGCACACAGAGACGCGCACACATTGTCGTGCGCTCGAGACAGCGGGTCCAGGCAGTCAGCGGGTCAGTAGACTGCTTCAGTCTTTCACTTTCACACTTGTACTTGGTAATTTTAGCGAAAACCTCAGATACTGTTGGCTGGTTTCTGTTGGTTGTGCACCTTTTTTTTTTACCGACGCCATTATAAGGACACAGATCACTGCCTATTCACGAGTCCCACGGAAAAAGGGATTGACAGGTGGCAATTATGTGTGTAATTTATCTTTATTCATTTCCTGTATGATTTGTTTATGATTTTGTTGAATTTTTCTTTTTTAAATCGAAAATCGAATTGAACCGTAACTTTAGAATTGAAATTGTAATCGAATCGAAGATTTGGAGGATCGTGACACCCTGAATTATTATCATTATTTATGTCTTTAATCATATGCATTTATTGACGTTGATTACATTTTATTGGTAAAGTATTTTTATATTTATAGAAAAGTAAAAATTTTGAAAATGTTAAACTTGAGAAGCTATGGCAATAAACTTAAAAATCATCAACATTAATCATTGTTATTAAACTATAATTAAACTTTTAAACTAACCTTATTTAACTGCTGACACATTGGAGCCTGCTGCATTTTCTTGTTTAGGTATATATGATAAGAGCAATTGGGGCTGCACAATATTGGAAAAATCGAACATTTCCCATAATTTATTTATTTTTTCTGAGATGATTATTGTGTTATAAACACAACTTCACAAGATTGCTTAAAGTCTTTGGAAAGAGTTTATCATTTTACATTGATTGGGATTTTTCTGTAGGGCAGTGAAATTTGTTGGCATCTGCATGAAATATAACAAACAATCCACAAGCAGTGTCTCCCAACCCTGTTCCTGTACATGTTATGAATGTCTCCATTATATGACCCGTTCGGTTCAAGTTTTTTCTAATGTTCTGATGAGTTGATTCAGGTGTGTTTAATTAGGAAGAGGTTGAAATGGTGTGCCTTCAGAAAAAGCGTTGGGAAACACTGGTATAAACAATTCAATAAACTTGATAAAGATTCATTTTAAGGTTACAAACAGTACAATTTATTGTGCCTAAATGCTTTTAAAATCCTCATACTTTGACATTCTTCAGAAAAGACTTTATAAATGATAAATTATAATCCAGAATCAGCATGTGATGTGACTATTGCAGAAGATCACATTGCTATGTTGATGCTGAAATGATATATTGTCCTAATAGCAATTGTGTTCACACCAAAACAATAGTGTTTGTGAGGCTCTGAATGAGGTGCTCTTGGTCTGATTGATTGAAAATATACTTTGACCAACAAACAAAGCAGTATTTTAATTTATTGTGGTACATATTTTACATCAAAGCAGTCGTGATGTGTTAGTGTCTTTCTCTGTGCAGTGCGAGCTGTATTAATCATGGTATATACAATTTCATGTTTTTTTTTTCTTTTTCCAAAATATATTTATTTGCATTTGTTTTAAACACATAATACATTTAAATAAAAGAGAGAAAAAAACACACATAAGAGGTCCTTGCAGAACTTTATGGGGGTATAAGATATAAATAATAATAACAATAAATAAATACAAAAAAGGCAAATACAAAAAAAAAAAAAAACACCTTACAATTTCATGTTTAGTTAATAATGAGTCATCAGAAAAAGTGGGAATGACTGTTACATATCTGTGCCGTGACAGCTGCAGATAAAGCCATAATAAGGCCATAGAGAACTTGTCAATCCAGCCTCATGGTTGACGCAGGGTGTAAATATAGGTGCACTTTAAAATGTTGCCTTGTGAAAGGAAACCAAACCATTTGTACAAATTAAGTTCCTGTTTGTGTACAAAGCAGAGAATGTACAAGTCTTTAAATGCCCTGAAAGCTTTTATTTGTTGGCATGCTTCAATAATTACACAATTGTGTTGTTGTTGTTTGTTTGTTTGTTTGTTTTTAGCAAAACTTGGAGGTTATGAGGAGATCCAAACTGAGTGAAGCAGAACTGGAGGAGCTGGAAAGAAAAGAGACAGAGGTGTGAAAATCTTCAGCCACTCTTTGTTTTATTCTATTCATTTTAGTCTTATGATGCTCAGGTGTTTTTCTTTTTTTGCATTAGGCAAAATACATTGTATGGGTCAAAATGATTGATTTTAATTATATAGATATGCATTCGTTGTTGTTTTCACTCTACACTAGAGGTGTGAACCTATACTGGTCTCACGGTTCGGTTATGATTATCATGCCATTGATTTGGTTCAATTCGATATCTCGGTGCATCACGGTGCATTGACAATGCTTTCCATACACAGTGTTATATTTTGGGGGGAGGCTATAACAAGCTGTCTGTATAAACACACAGACACACAGCACCACACTGTCTCTCATTCACTAACATACAACAAAAATAGATAGCACCACACACGCACACACTCAATGTGCGTTTAGCCGGGAGAGCTCGCACTGAGCGGAGCAAAAAAAAAAACAACGAAAAAAAGAAGCACTTTTCCAGCGGTCCCTTACTTAGAGCTCCGCAAACTCTCCTGGCTAAACGCATATTGCGAGGGCTTAAGGGAGCAGTGGTCGTAATATTGACAGAAAAAAAAAACAGTGTGAAACATAACAAGCTTTGTCTTTGTGTAGGAAACACACTTTAGATCTTTTTAGGGTAACCGCGCTAATTTCTGGCGCCCCCCTGGATGTACTTAGCATTTGCCTATACTGCCTATGCCACGCGCTGGCCCTGAGTTGGCTCCTGAGTGTTGTAAATACTGCCGCTCACCTCCCTCGCGACAGAGCGCATAGGAGATAAATGACGTCAGTACATAACAACCGGTTATGATTATTACTGAACCGATACCGAATTGTCCTCGTCTGCATCACGGTGCACCGAAAAAACAATTTATTTTGACACCACTACTCTGCACTAGTGTTTGTTTAAATGCATTCTAGTCATGACATGGTGTTTCAGCTTCTAAAAGCAACTTCATGCATTTACTGTAAATTGAGATCTCCCTGCAACACCATATCTTGAGCTACACGTGTGTAAATGAATAGTAAAATTCTTAACCCTGAAACTGGCAGTACAACATGTTGATGGTTTTATGCTTAAACAAATAAAATAATGATATTAATAAATTCAGAACAAATAAGATGTTCATAATAACACTACACTTTTAGTAAATGCTCTACTGTAAATATTCAAAAACCTAATTTTCGATCAGTGATTTTTCTTGGTAAAAACTTTATTTGGACATCTTTAATGGTCATTGTCTCAGTATTTAGATTTATTTGAACCCTCGGATTTCAGATGTGTACCATAGTTGCATCTCAACCAAATACTGTAAGCGCTGTTGAGCACGTTCTTACAGCGCTGGTTTGCTATTGTGTTCACATGCTCAACAGAAATGACTGTGATTGGCCGTGAAGATCATCAATTCACCGAACACACTCACTGCTTAATCTTTAAGCTACTTGGAAACCTAGATCTATTTGACAATTTTTCTACTTTAAGCTACTTAAATATTGAACTACTTAAAACTATTTTAAAAATTTAAGCTATATAAAACTTAGAACTTAGAAATTTTCAGTAGTATAAAGTTTAAAACAACTTTTTTTTTTTTTTTTTTTTTTTTACAAATTAAGCTACTTAGAACTTCTTAAACCTCGAAAATATTTATAAACTTTAAGCTACTTAATTGCTTAACTATTTTTGAACTTCAGGCTACCTGTAACAGAACTACATAAAACTAATTTGAAACTTTAAGCTACTTAGAACTACTTTAAACCTTAACTATTTTTAAAGTTTAAGCTATATAGTTTTAAAGCTGTGATTCATCGATGAATCGATCGTATGTTTGCTTATAGACAAACCAGCTGATTTCCGTGGCTGGTTACACTAGTAAATGGAGGTGAGTTCGGTAAACTGATGACCTTTACGGCCAATCACAGTCATTTCTGTTGAGCACGTGAACAGCAGGGTTTAAGAACGTGCTCAACAGAAACGTTTGCAGGAAATGGACGTTTTTAACATTTCAGTATCCATTTGTACCAAATTCCAATATCATGACAACACTACTTCAGACTAAGCATGAATCTTAATTTCAGAAAATTGACCCAAAGAATGATCTTTGAAGTTTTTTTTTTTTTTTTTTTTTTAACGTGTTTTTTTTATGTTGGAAAAAAATTGCATGTATAGAACTAGGGCATGCTTGTTTTGACATTATTTAAAATAGATAGCTTAGAAATAATACATTTGAATTGAACTATTAAAAATCCTTAACGTTTAGCCCTTACTGATGTGTTTGTTCCCTTTACATCACTGAACAGATGAAGTACAGGGACAGGGCTGCTGAAAGAAGAGAGAAATACGGCATCCCTGAACCACCCGTGCCTAAGAAAAGGAAATACACCGCACCAACACCTGTAGTGTAAGTTTGAAGTGTTTGCCTTTTCAAGTTCTGCTTCAGTCAGCTGTGTGTTTACGATTGCTGTGTCAATATAACAGTGCTATTCAATTCTTCAGAAATTACGAGCAGCCCACGAAGGACGGCCTGAACAGTGATAATATCGGCAATAAGATGCTGCAAGCTATGGGGTGGAAGGAAGGCAAAGGTCTGGGTAGAAACCAGCAGGGCATCACAACACCTATTGAGGTATTAAAATAAATACAATTGATTTACAAAACTGATATTAAAATCTTATGACCAGACTAATAACAGCTAGTTTATGCAACCAGCTCTCAGCTCAGCAGAGGGCTGATAATCAAGCGGCTATTAACAGGAATGTTTGTCATCTGCAGGCTCAGTTGAGAGCGAAGGGAGCCGGTTTGGGAACTAAAGGAAGCAGCTACAATCTCACGGCTTCTGACACATACAAGGATGCCGTCCGGAAAGCCATGTTTGCCCGCTTTACAGAAATCGAGTAAATGAGTAAGATGTCATGCGAGCGGTGATTGTCGTCCTCTGCACTGCGCAGTGTTTGTATTTATTTTGACATCAGAAACTGTTGATGAGCAGGAGATGTGTGTGTGTATGTGTACATATGTACAGAGTCCTCCAGAAATGTGAAATTTGCCTTTTTTGATTTTGATTGTTTGCTTTTCCAAAATAGATCTCAAACTGTAAAGTTTATATATGATCTCAGTTTTGTACATAAGAAAATAAATGAGATGACCTGAGCTTGAGACGACGCTGCTTTTTTCAGACAATGAACTTCCTTTCATTAAACTTTTGGAAGTTAATTCAAAGCATTTTGGGTATGGGTGTGTGTATGTGTGGGTATAAACTGTTTTAAAAACATTACCGTTTAATAATCTGAAAACGTAGCTCAGTCTTTCACAAAATATTTCATGAATGAGATTCGATGAGTTGTTTGTCACAATACTTTCTAGTTGTTTTGTTGGAAACGCCAAATATTTACAAGTCTGGGATTCCTGATAGGTGATGAGCTGAAAGCAAGAAAGTAGTTCTTTGGAAAAGACCAACCAGTTTCTCTTTACCGCAACGCCTTTCACTTCTGGAAATACCAGGTTGGCTGAACAGAGGAAGAACATCTTATTCTCGTATCTTTTTTTTTTTTTGGTCTGTCAAAGTTGTGGCTGCTCATAAAACTTGTGCGTGTTTGCACATGACCACGGTTGTTAAACAGGTTTTGTTGACTTGCTGCCTGTGGCATGAATTTTCCTGCATGTATCGCAAGAACAACACAGTGTTCAAGAGAATTTTTTATTTTTATTTCAACAATACACTTCTCTGTGATGTGTCTGTTGATAGATTGGGTGGAGTTGTCGTCATGTCAATGCAAACACCAAATCAACCAATGCAAACAAGATTAAGAGAGAGTTTTTTTTTTGTTTTTTTTTGCACTTGAGTAATATATTGTATAAATGTTATTTAACCGGTGTCAGTTTTGACTTGTCATTATTAGTTTGCAGAACAACAATGGAGTATAGGAACAGCTATATTCTGTAAATCCAATTCAATCAGAATAACAAATAAGATGCCATTTCTTTCAGGTCTGGTAAAACCACACAGTTAATCATTGATGGAATAACCTTGATTTTATATGTAAAAATAGTATGAAAATTTTGTAACGGCGATGATAAATTCGGTTTTATCAACGCGTAGTTTGACAGAGCAGTACATAACGGGGAAAGTGTTAACTCATCTGTGTTGCCAGATGTTAACGTAAAAACAAAATAACACTTCCAATATAAGTCTAGTCAGTTCAAACTATTTCATATAAGAAACAATACCATAACGTTGCCATTCGTAAGTGATCACAAATGAAATTTAACTAACAAACAACCTGATATTTGAGGCAAGCCCAAGTAAGAAATTACAGACTTGAAAACA